TTGTTTTATTCTTTGAAGCATTAATATCTAATTTATGCAATTGCAGTGCCTTGATTTTATTGAGGTTTAGTACACAATCAATCATGCATCAAACTCCGGCCCCAAACCCTCTTCAACAGGATGGGGTTAGATGCCAATAAGAATTACATTTTTGCTTGATGAATTTTTTTATTTTTTTTCTATTTATTTCCAACTACTTTTTTTCATTAAAAGTATTAACTGCAGTTGGTCATATAAAACAGAAGTGACCTTGCTTTTGCAGCAACCTGCACTTCAGGGAATGATGCATCGCGTGACTCATTCATGATTCACCTTAAAAAGAATCCTCCACTTCAGCCTTTACACCAACGTGCATGTTCATACGTATCTGCTCGTGAGAACGTAACATAAAGAAATCATTGTTTCTCGCCTCAGCAGAGCCCAGCACTTCTATCATTTTGTGTTTTTTTGATTGTATAACGCACATATAGCAAGTGCAATCGCAAACTAAAGTTGATGGGTCAAGTACGATGACAGTTGTGAGTTTGTTTTGGCCACTCGAGGCACTCCTGAGCAGCTGCTGGCCAATCACAGCCACTTCACTTCATGTCTCTTGACCACAGCAGAAGCCATGGCTTGTGGGAGTCATGGTTTCTTTTTTGTTTCAAACGTTGGGCATTCATGGGGCCAATTTGTTTTTCTAAAGGCTGTTAAGTGGTGTAATCACAGTTGATGTTTAGAAACCCTCTCTTTTATTTTATTTCAGGACATCAGACTTGTGTAAACATTGCATGCAGCATTGGAAGAACAAAGGAACAGAACATGGTTGGTGCCGAGCTGGAGACAGCCACTACAAACAATACTGAACAAGAATAGGCTTTAGGGGCAGGAGGTTTGTGAAAGCCAACAAGAAAACTTACTGGATATACCAGGTGTTGTGTGCTGTACTTCTTTCAATAACATAATATGTTGGAAGAAATACTTGAAAGGAAAGTTGCCAAAGATCTGATACGTCAGGAGACCGCTGTTGAACACCGTTGTGAAATTAGCAAAAACAAAACAACTATGAAGATTACTAAAAAAACAACAACTTTGAAGTTAGCCAAAACTCTATGACGTTAGCTACGAAGTTAGCAAAAATAACAACAACTTTGAGGTTAGCATAAAACAACAACTATTAAGGTAGCTATGAAGTTCGCAAAAAACAACAACTTCCAACTTCAACAAAACAGATCTGTCACTTAAACACTTGTTTTTTACTTGAAAAAAATATATCAATATATCAATATATCAATATCTATGACACTTAGCATTAGCTTGCAGTGTTGATAGTTACTCCAACAAATGATCAGTGCAATTATAACTTTTTAAATGTGTTGATTAAATAATCCCTGAGGGTAAGAGACATGACGTAAGGACTCCAGAGGAACACAACGCAATAAAAAAATTTTAATAATACAAAATTAATGTCAAGGAAAAATAAATTTGACTTCAATAAAAAAATATTTTAGTTTATTTTTCTTATTAATTCGCTTTTTTTATTTAACAAAAGGCTGTTAAACGGTTTATTTGCAAACGGCAAATACTATTTCGGTACAACCAATTCACATGAGTTACTTTAATGTTATAACTTGTCCCATATTTATTTTTAATCTGTCTGAGCCATCTTTATTTTTAGTATAATTTGTCTTTGCCCACTAAATCTATGTGGCACCAAGGAGGAATGACACAAAATCCTATCCAACCACCATTAACATCTGGGTTTTGAAGATTTTTTTTTTCCGATCTCACAAATATAGCAAAAAAGGCGTAAATGGTAAATAGGCGTAAAGTGTAAATATATACGTAAATATTGTAATATCGCCTCTACTTTTCCCATTTTGTAGTGGATCTTGGAACGCAACTATCGCGATAGGAGAGGGCTCACTGTATACCCCAACATACTACCTTACTCCCTATGGTAAAATTCAATTAACAATTGATCTATTTACCCCTGAGTTTTTGTTGTTTTTTTTAGCTTGTGTGGTGACATATGGATTAGATACAGTTTAATTACGCCGTCGTTTTCAATTTGAGGTGAACAAAAGCGTGACATTCTAATTACAGTCCGCATTTAGTCCTCTGAAGTTGATAAAACTATCCCATATTACCATCAATAAATTATAAGCACACCAACTCCCAGACAGTATAATTATAGAAAAGATATTAATTGCAGGACTCTGTCATTTAACAATGTCGCGTATAACGGTGCGATGTAGTTAAAGAAAGAAAAAAAAGAAACCTAACAGCTCCCTGCAATTGTCTGTGGGTATTTTTCAGTGTTTTCCATTTTTACTGTTTCATGTAGCATTTCCTCTCACTCTATTTCAGTCAAAATATAAGTTGGATAAACCCTTGGGTCTTTCCTAATTCCAGCACATGCATTAACTAATGGTCACGGCGTTGTTTCGACTCGGTCCCCCAACAACAGATCTGCTTTGGATTCATTCCATGCACAAAATGGACTCTGATGTATTCATGTTTTATGTCACCACGTCAGAGTCCCATTTACTGCCGAACGCCTTATCAGAGTGGATGTCCCACTACGCAGTCCTGCTGATCGTATTATCCACACAGCAGCAGCATCACTGACTGCAAACACCTCCTGGCCTCCGAGGACTGATCTTGGCTCTACACGATCTGCATATCTATTTATCTCTGTGGCCAGGTCCCAGTGGTTCACCCCACTCACTTTCCCCTCCTACGTCTCTCCTCTCGCCTGTTGTACCTCCTTCTCGTGGTTCCATCGCCTCTCCGGCAGTCGCCACCACCTCCTCCTTCCATCTGTTAATCGAATGAGCTGTCACAGTTGTGTTGATGATTACATTTTAGTTCCCCGAGTCCTTCTGTGACTAAAAAGCCGATTACCTTCTCGCCACAACCTCCAACAACCGACAACTTGCGTCACCTCCAGGTAAAGATAACGACTGTTCCGCACGGCGGTGTAAAACTATTGACGTTCTTCTCATCTGCACCGAGACTCAAGAAGTTGGTTTTTGCTTTGTCATTTAATCATTTAATTGGGTTCAATCATGTGGTTTGAGGGGTTTTATAGGCGTTTTACATTATTTATAGCCTGAAAAAATATATAAAATATATATGAAATATAAATATATATATATATAAATTTAAACACACATATATACAGTCATATATATACATATATTATATATGTGTGTGTATATATATAAATATATACTGTACATACATACATATATACAGTACATATATACACACATATACATATATACACACATATATGCATACATATATACACACATATATATGTACATATATACATACATATATACATATATATATATGCATATATATATACACATATATATACATATATATGCATATATATATATATATATATGCAGAGATAAATACACTGTATAGATACGGACATATATATAAACATATATATGCACACAAATATAATTATATGCAAAACATTCTTCTGTTCGTGTAGGATGCTACTCAGGTTGACCGACAGATGAATAGCACTTGCGGTATTAACACAGATCCTATTCCATTTCCTCTCGCAATTTGCATTTGCCAATAGCACATGAGTAAATAAAATTAAGTTATTGTTAATGGAATAAAGACACTTGGGCAAAATCAGACACTTGTTGAGGTGCATGCACACTGGACCTGGTGTGGCCATCCACTACTCTATTCATCCACAAAGCCTACACTTAAGACAACTGTTTTTTTATGGAAATCAGTTGGACCTTGGGGTCACACGCCTTCTTCGTCTCACAATGAGGCTTTGATATTACGTAAATGCGTCCAGAATGTTCTCCGTAGCTATAGAAAACAATGTAACCCAACATTAGGGACACGGGCAGTAGGCCGAATATACCCACAAAGTCAACATAAAACACCCTAGACACCCTAGACACACGTAAATGTGGTATATGATGTCGATGTAAATGTGTAACGTTCAGTGAGTGATTTAATGTCAGTATGCATGACAAAAAAAAACAAAAAAAAACATAGAAGACATTTGTAACAATAATAATTATCAATATTGTTATTAGCGTCATACAGCTCATCTACAACAGTATCAGTGGAGATGCTTAGGCACAGACATATACTGCAGCTTACTTTAGAGTAATATAAATACACTGAACACTAAATGTTCATATACTGACCATAATAATCATTATTATTTTTCTTTTTAGGCACAGAAAGGCACAGAAAAAGGTTGGTCAGAACAGGGCTGGTAAACGGGAGTGAAGGGGATCTAGTTGCTAACGTGTTAAGACATTAACACAATTACACAAATGTAGCCTAAAATGTCCTCCCCCAAAGTCTAAGGAAAAAAAGTTCCTTACGTATTATCTACAGTAAATGCCCCATTTGCCCCACGTGCACTTCGCTTTATTCGCTTTTATCAAGAAAAAAGTGACCTATATCGGATTCTTTTATGATAGTGTTAACATATATACATATATACACATACATACAAACACCCACGTATACAGTATATACCCATACACACATATGCAGTATATGTATATACATATATACCTATACTTATTCTCTGGTAGTTGTTTCCTAAAGGCAAGGTTTTCCAAAAATTGTTATATATTTTTTTAGTATTACAGCTACTAAACGATGCAACAACAATGACCAATATTATTATTAAATTTTTTTTTTTAAATATTTCAGATCTTGTTTTACTTTCATAATGAGGTTTGGGTTATTTTTCTTTTCATATATATTTATATATATTTATATATACATATATATTTCCATATATATGTATATATATTTATATATATGTGTGTGTGTGTGTGCGTGCGTATTTGTTACCGTGGCCCTGTGGCGTACGGGACAGAACAATATATGTAATCACATAGTAATTCGATTTCCCCCCCAAATCGTGACTCCGCATAAACGTGGGTCAAGGTGGAGAGTCGGTCAGTGACGCACAAACTTTACAGCAGATGACGACGCACCCTAAAAAAAACAAAAACCCAACCCTATACTTTGTCAGTGGTAACAGTAACAGAAGTATCATCACTTCCTCTGCTAAACTTGTCACTGGACGACAGACAGTACAGTAGCGGCGTTACTAGGCAACAGCGCTTTCGGTGCTATATAGGAGTGCAGAGGAGCCCGTGCGCCAAAGCAGGAGGACGCACGGAAGGGAAGAGACAGCAGCAGAGACAGTCCTGTATCGGCAGACAGCGCTATGGAATACTGTTAAGATCCAAAGGGTGAAGAATCGGTGCGCGCCAGTGTAGCTCGTGCGTAAAAGGCTCAAATAATTTGGCTTTTTGTAGCTCCATTTCGATCCTTCGCGCAAAGTATAACTTGTTACCGTCGTCGGCGACGCGTGTCCCACCGAGTTCCACTGCTGTTTGGCATCATGAAGTTGCTGCTTTTGCCAGTTTTTATTTTGTTTTTCACCGTCGGCCAAGTTTTCTGCGGAAACGACTTTAATGAAGAGGCGGACTACTGGACAAGCACGAACCAGATTCAGGTAGTTGTTCCTGTTCTCCGTAAGTTGTTTACGACGTTTTCCCGAAAATTATCATATCAAAAGCGCCGTGCTGCTACTTAAATCTCGCAACAAAAATGACCAGTATGTACGGTCATATTTTTTTTCCCTTTACTTTTACATGAACAAATTGAACGCGTTATGCTGTGCACTAATTAATTACATTTGAATCACTCAATGTGCCAATATATATATATATATATATTTATATATATATATATATTTATATATATATATATATAAATATATATATATATATAAATATATATATATATATAAATATATATATATATATAAATATATATATATATATAAATATATATATATATATAAATATATATATATATATAAATATATATATATATATAAATATATATATATATATAAATATATATATATATATAAATATATATATATATATATATTTATATATATATATTTTATATAACATCAATTGGTCTCTGCTCAGTTAAAGAGGAACTGAGGCTGAGCAACAGTGAAGGTGATGATAAATCCGACTACGATGCTCCAGGAAAAGAAAACCATCTGCACCTCTTGCAGTGCATAACGTTGTAGTATCAGAAACTTAAATCATCCCCATCTTACGTTTTGTGACATTTTCAGCCGGAGACGAGCCAGTCTCCTCCGCCAGAATACATTGGAACCAAAGGCCAGCTGCCGTTCTACATACAAATGATGTCTATGTTGAATCGGTACAACTTTAAGATGTGTAACCCCCCCACCACCACCACCACCATCACCACCACCACCATCCAGGTCTATAGCTAAGCCCTTAGACTTAGAGATGGAATTGGACTGCCCAAACTCAGTCGAAACTCAATGCTTTCATAAATCATTAGTGGTGGCATCGCTTTAACGTAATTACATTTTTTTCCTTCGCTCAGGTCAGGTCACGTCGCTGGCGTCGTTTTTCCAATTCATCAGTGAGAGAGTAAGAATCAGTGGAATAAAAAATCCATACGGGGATTTCAACATCACCGCATAGAGAACTGTTAATCAGTTACTTAGTATAAATTTTTTTTTTCCCCTCGAAAAAGTGTCATTTACCCAACACAGAGATTTTTCATATTTTTCCCCTCCCTCCATCACAGGACGGCTTGCTCTCCAATGACCCTTTAAGAGAAATCCTACTGAGGATGACGAGAAAGCCGCGACCACACCAGTTCATCGGCCTGATGGGAAAGCGATCCATGGGTGAGGGCTGCTTTTTTCCCATCCTAAAAAAAATCCTTTCATTGTGTCATTTGCCGAAAAACGCTAGTTTATCCTGATTCTCTTTTTCTCTTTGAAACAACCACCAGCAGCAGCAGCAGCAGCCTCTTTGAAACAACCAGCAGCAGCAGCAGCAGCATTCTCTTTGAAACAACCACCAGCAGCAGCAGCAGCAGCAAACTCACAGATCACCCGCAAAAGTAAGTCTTAACTCTGTTCAAATTTGGGTTTTCCCACCACTTCACACCGCGGGAAACTTTCATTCGTCCGTCTTCTGATTGGTCATGTGACGTCACATGTAGCTGTAGGATGTATGGGAAAAAATACATACGGCACGTGGTAACATCTAACTTGTAACTTTTAACAGTTAGAAATATGCGTATAACACAATATATTGTTATATTGCAGCAATATAGTGGTGTTATTATATAAATATAATAGAAAATTGCAATAAAAAAAAATCAGTATAATAATTGCAATAACAGATGCCAGACTATTATATTATATTATATTTTACTGTCTGTGATCATTTGGTGCTTCCTTAATAATTCTTTTACTATTTTACTTTTAAAATGTGCATCATTTAAACCAGTAAATGTACCAGATGTAAATGTACCCGACGATCCACTCGTATCCGGAAGTCAAAAAACAAAAACAAAAAAAAAACGTTCTTTCATGTATTCCTCCAAACACTCTAAAAACAACCAATCGACAGGTCAAAGATATTAATTGTGTCACTAAAAAGGTTTTGTTTTTTTTTGGTCAAAATGTGACAGCAATTAGTCATTTCTTAGGTTTTAATTAACGAAGCGCAAATAGATACATATTCAAATACCGTGTAAGTAATTAGGCCCGATTGTAGTGTCATTTTTTTTTTTATTGACTGTATTAATTTGTCAGCGGGCGTCGGTGGTGCAGGCGGAGAGCAGTGCAACAAAGAGGGACAGATAAAGGGAGCAGCGGAAGGATGTGGACGAGGGGGGAGTGGATTTTCTTTTTTTTTTTTTTTTTTTTTTTCTTCCTTGTTTTCTGTGACAGCTTTTCCTTTAGTGTGTATAAATTAGTCGCCCGTTTAGTGATGCGACACGGTGCGGCGCGCTAAGTATACATTTAATTTATTGTCCTTATACTGGCACTGACCACAAACACTCTTTATTAGAGAGAGAGAGAGAGAGAGAGAGAGAGAGAGAGAGAGAGTGCTGGGATCAATGCCTCAAGGACATGAGTTAAATTGGATTGTTTACGCCTGTGATAGATTGAAGGGGGGGGGGCATAGTTTATCCTTAACCTGCAAGACGGCCACCGTAATACGGACACCGTTTACCTCAATGGATTCTGTTTTCATTTTCGACACAAAATATGAATATTTAATTATACAAGCCAGACTGTGTGTTATGCCCATAAATGTTTTGTTTGTTTTTTCCCCCCCAGTAACAAATCTTTTCACATTTTTTTAAAATCTGCATGGTTTGCATTTGACTCCAATCAGCCTAATGCAAGTATTGATGACTGTAATGGACATACCCCATTACCGCCCCCCCTCCCTCCCCACCCCCGGGGACCCCGCACGTGCTCATATTACCGCCCTGTAAATGAGAACTGACGGAAGCCAGAGTCACTCTGCGGTGCGATGTCCGTCACTGCTAATCTGATCACAGTCCAATGTCTGGGTGGCGTTCAACTTGTACCTGGTTATACGCGCATGCATTCGTTTGTCTTGTTCAGCGTCGCAAGCTATATACCAAGACAACAAAATTTTACCGCAAAACAAAAATTATCGTTAGGTTTTTTTTTTTTTTACCCCCGAGTTGAATTTCCCCATCATTTACAGTCAGTCTCTGCCTATTTACAGGATGATTAGTCAGATTTGACAGGCCTGTCATGGGGCTTTGCAGTGAAATTTATCAAAAACAACTCACGTGATCCAAGTTAAAACTATTTAGTCATTTCATGAATGAAATGACATTTAAGCCAGACGCTGGAGGAGACAGCATGAACACGCTGTTTTGCAACATTTATGCCAATATCTTATCAGAGAAATGCCTGTCAGGTTGCGTCGTGTGAGTTTTGGTTAAATTATGATTTTTTTTTTGTTTCATTTTAATATTATATTTGAAAAAAAAAGTCAATTTATAATATACACCTCAAATTCAGTTATCAGGTAATATACAAAACAGGAATGTGATCATTAAAATATTGTTTAAGCAGGATACAGCACTGGCACATTTAAAATAAAAAAAATTGATATAACAATACAGGAAACAAGAGCATATGCATATTAAATACTAAGAAAACCATCTTATCTAAAGAATACAAAATTCAGACCAACCACATCCACAGCTGTCATTTTATGCTAGGAGGGGGTGTACGCTGCAAGCTGCGATTTTTTTTTTTTTTTTTTTTATGTGTTTATTTGATTTGTTTCGATGCAGGCAGGGGGCGAGTGAGCAGAGATGGGTGTCAGGAATTGAGTGTCATACCGCTTCGGCGAGAGTAAAATATATAAAATGGCGGAGATAAGTTCTGATTGCAATGAAGCAAGGTCGAATTTTAGACATTTTAGCCTCTTCGGGTCGGATAAAATGAAGGCGGTCAGCGTACTGTAGAAAGACATGAAGATGGTCAATGTAACACTGAAAAAATAAATAAATAATTTTTTGAATTTAGAATTTTTTTTTTTTTAAACCACCTTGTTTACTTAAAGTAAATGGATAAAAAAAATTTTTTTTTTATTTATTTTTCTTCATAGGGCATCTCGTCAATTCTTTTGTTGGGCTGATGGGAAAAAGAAGTCAAGAAGAACCAAGTAAGTAACATCCGTTTGTTGTCGGCTTTGAAATGAACAGGAAAAAATAAATGACTAACGTGCACTCCCTCCCTCTCTCTCTCTCTCCCTCTCTCTCCTAATACAGACTCATACGAGTGGAGCACAATACAGATGTACGACAAGCGCCGCTAGCCAGCGGAGTCGTCGCCTGCCTTGCTTTTTATCCAGCCATTTCTCATCCGTGGGATGGAGCGTCTGCTGTCCTCCACACTCTGTATAGCTGTTGGTTGAATAAAAAAAAAAAGATTCTGTTTCCACATTGTAGTAATGTAGCAGTGCTGTACCCGTGCCAGTCTCATTTGTGCCAGATGAAAGCTACCGGGGTGGGGGGAGTGGAAGTTTATGATCAGCATAAGTGCTTTCTGTCTGGCCTTTCATTCGGCCGTACGTCGTGCCACAAAGACTATTTGTAGATTAAACCATCAAAGCAAGGCTAACACACCAGGGCTATGCTGTAAAAAATGCACTGCCAAAGTCACTGTACGGTGCCTCATGATTGTTCACCGATTGTTTCTGCTCGCACCAACATACAGGGACGGGTTCCCATTTATGCTTCTCAGTTGTTTTCGGAGAAGCTGTTTTGTGTTTTCGGACGTGGTTTATTATGAGATGTACGTGTGTGTGTGTGTGTGTTTTAGTGTTTTGGACGATATTAAAATTATTTTCTTTACTGGTTCATTTGCAGCACGGAAGTCCTACATTTCTTGACGTCACAGCAAAGACGGCGCTGAACAGCGTTCAGCACGTTAGCAAAATGCTGCACAAAACAAAACCAGCTAGTCCCGCAATAATAAACTATGCCAAGGTTTTTTTTTAGCCCTATTGGAGAAAAAGGAAGTGAATGCAAGTTACAATACATGAGGACATACCTCGGAACAAAAGAGAAGGCCATCCCGAGGATGTCGCAAACTGAGGAAACTTACAGGTTTCAGACAAAATTAAACATGTGATCAACCATCTAAAGGTTTCAAAAACTTTCAAAATATGTTTTCCACCACCGCCACGATGAGATTCGATTGTTTGAGCCAAGTCCTATGATCATCACATATTAACGCCAGAATCCATGTGATAAATGAAGTTGAAGTCAGAGATTGCCAGAAAGAAACTGGAAAAAAAACAGTACGACCTTTCCAACGTAATGCTGAAACTGACTCAAGGATCGAAGCACTGAATCTGGAGCCACCCGCAATCCTGCGATGGCAAATCCAAACCACTAACTTGCACGTCTTCCCCAGAGGCTGTGCAGTTAATCCATTACTCTGCACGTCCGCACGAATCCTCCCCATCATTTTTAGTGAAATCGCAATCTGGTGGTCGTCCTCCTTTAACGTTCGCCTTGTACAGAACTGAGCAAAAACGACGAGTCGATCCTTTAATCAGCAAAGCTGGCGGACTTACTTTTACAACAGAGTTAACCTTCTGCAACATCTGATACTGCTCCAAAAGAATAGAAGAAAACATTCAAATAACCCCCCCCCCCCAAGGTTTGCTGAGCCATGCTGGACTGAAAGGCCAAAGAAGAGGACAAGGGAGACAAAATTAAACATGTGATCAACCATCGGGACCAACGTTAACCGACGTTACAACCAGGTGCCCCCCCCCCCTACGACCTAGACTACAGGTTAGTTGACTTAACTTATTGATGATAAAAATCAAATAAGTACAAAAATAATAAGTACATCAATAAATATTCAAAAGAGTTGCAGGTAAAAATTGTCTAATAATTGTTATATTAGAGTATATGAAAGAAGGTGGCCTAAAAATGTGCAATTGCTTTATAATGCTAATGCTACATTTAGGCTATTCGGGCGGTACACTATAAATATTGGCTAAAGCAGCAGTCCCCAACATTTTTTGTACCAAGGTCCGGTCAGCCGGTGTCTGCCAGTACTGCGGACAAGTAATACCCCGACGTCATATGAAGGATCATTCAATTTTCAATTTTTTAGACTTTATTCTGTTAGCATCAGAGTCTGAATGGCCTGTTGGTTTAAAACATTGCCAGATTCTTTTTTTTAAGGAAAAAAGTGAATGAATATGACTGGATTATTGATTTAAGTCCCACTGTGTCCCACTGTGTCCAACGACCTACGGACCAGCACCTGGGGTTGGGGACCCACAACATCGTAGTATCCTTTTACACACTGACATTAAGGCCAAAGTTATAGAGTACTGGATGTTGCTCTGCTTCCTTGTCCCGCACAGTCACAGCAGCTGCCAACTTGTCAGTCAGCTGTCTGACAGACTTTGTCTCTCATTTATCAAATGGGAATAGTCACCAGTGAATAGGAAAAGTCTCCGAAGACACTGTAGCCAACCAAATTTAGCCCTGTCTTTCTGCATCCCACGGACTGGCTTTTTATATCAGTCTTTTGACTAAAAAAATCTAACTACCAGACAGAATAAGGTCCTGTTCGCAACTTTAACGCTCTTTTTTTTTTATGTTTGCTGTAGATATTAACAGTAATTTTTGGTCAAACGCTTAGTCACCAACCATCTATTCCATGACGGAAACTAAATGTAAACTGAACAGGAAGTTGTTAAAAACGTTTTTGGGAGGGCGCTGTTTTCACTGTAAACGGCATGAATGAGCAGTTGAAGGGTTAACGATACGGCAGCGTCGAGCAGTGCCGCCAGAATTAACTGCAGTACAGCCAAGAAGAGCAACCACAAATAATACAGGGGCATGGTCACCAAGCACTGCTTCACAAGTTCATGTTTAGCACCCGACACAGACTGCGCAACATTAAAAGAGTCAATAAGATAGGAGTCAAGAACATAGGTTGCTATTAGCTTATCAGGACAACGTACCTGGACAGAAAAACCCCCAACGACGAGAACACGGTCATATTTAGGCATTACCTCAACCACAAAGTCGTTAATTAAACTCAGTTCAAAGCTGGCAAAAGAGTACGATAAAAGCTTACTTACCTTTATAATGACTCTTGAAAACAGTTGTCATTCCTTCTCCTTTTCCTGACATCCGCGGGGAATTAAAATAGCAATGACTCTTGAAAACAGTTGCCATTCCTTCTCCTTCTCCTGACATCCGCGGGGAATTAAAATAGCTACAGTCATTAGCCGAAAATTAGCCAACAACCCGTCCAAGTCTCGGAAATACACCGGAAGTCCGTTCTTCGGGATGTAAAGTAACCCTTAAAAACATTTTTGTTGTTGTTTTTTTTTTTTACCAGGCAGTTTTAAACTCTGGTCCTGGTGGGAGCCGGTGGGTGCGCGACGGCCGCCAGTGAAGCCCGCCACAAATACGACAGGTTATCGAATAAGAATTCGGGGAATAAGAATAGGGGGCATCGTAGTGCGTTAATTATGGCAAAAAAAAAAAAAATACGCAACATCATCAAATTGTTAAGCTTCCTAAAGATATATGTTAATGACAGTGTCTGAAGCGTGCTGCGGAAGGTCACAGGTTCGAGTCTGCCAGCCTCGAGGCTTCCAATGGAATATAGCACGCTGGACATGGAGTGTACCACTGCTGCCCTGCTGGAATAATAACAAGCCTTCAGTCACTAGGTGGCAGCAAACTCATGGAGTGGTTTGTACAGATAAAAATATACATGTTATATGTATTATATGCTGTGATGGAAACCCTGAAATAACAATAATAATAAATCAATAAAACATAGTTTCATTGTTATTCCACATAATTCCACAAAAGTCCAGTTCAAAGTTGCATAAAGAGTTTAGTAAATTTGTATTACTCTTAGACTAAAGCAAAACTCAAACTTAAACATTACATTTTGACTAACGCTAACTTACAATTTAGTCAAAAAGCTACAACCTAAACAAACTTTGCTGTCAAAATGAGGTTGGTTTTAGATGCGACCGAGGATGAGTTCCAGTGCCTCAAGGCTCTCACCTGGTTTCCTTCGCTGCTAACTTTTTGACAGCTCTGACAGAGATTATACGCATCTTCGTACTGTCCAATCATTCTGGTTTGAGTCATGACTCACTGTTGAAACCGTCAACCACTGTTAGTCATCACTTTGACACTGGTGATCAAAGTGAGCCGAACAGTATGTTTGAAACGTAAGCGAGACGAGGGGTGTTTTTCAACTATTTTCTTTTTATTTATGATCTTTAGAACAGATTTTTTAAACTGAAAATATAACGGAATTACAAGGGTTAGGAATAATTGCGGCAAATACAACCTTCATTCACAGTTTCGATGGAAAAAAAAAGGCAGTCAACTCGTTTACTAATGTTTACTTATATCAAAGACACAGGTGTACCATCCTTCGTGTTTACAAGGTTGTTCAAAAACTCTTGTAGTCATTTCTTAAACTATTTAACCGTTATTTACTAACCAACTTCTACATTAATTAATGTTTGTTCCCAAAGACGTTTGCGTTTTGTTTATTTTTGCTAGCTTGGCGATTTCCATTTAGCGGTAATGTATCATGTGTTACCTGCCGGAGCTTAAGGAGGTAGTGGATGTAGGTAAGACGTGACCAAGGCTAGCATATTGACATGTATCGAGTGTGAGTCATAGACACATGCGGTGGAGAGAATTTTTCAAAATAAAACATCGTTCAGTATCAGATAATAAATCAAATGGAAATAATTTAAGTTACGCACTCTTTCTGTGCGGCCCGGCACCAATCAAGCATATTTTTTTCTGCCACTGAATTAAAACATTAATATCATCTTATTACCATCATCATCTGAAGCACGTGTAGTACAGTAAGTGTATTTAAAAAAAACATTTGAAATTACACCTGAAAACGTCTGAAAATAAAAAAAAAATCAGACAAATGCAGTGGTTGTATACACAACGTTGTACGTGATCGTAATTAAAATACTCTGAGCTACAGCTGACACAGTCAGAACATAAGGATGATAATGTTAAAGCTGGCGGACAAACACGCTCCTCTTTTAGCCAATCACTCATCTTTGTCTTGTTTGTAGATAGACAGCGTTCTGGCTGATGGGTCTGTTGCCTTGATCCAACGTGGCATCCAATAATGGGAAAGCCACTCCGCCCGGTTTGGAAAGAACTTCTCAAATACCTGTCTGTAGTAATAAGCCTCTTTGGTGGAGGGAGGCAAATGTGGGAAAGTCTTGTGAGCCTTCTCCATCTGGTCATCATTCACCTAAAACAGAGACGGTAGGAGAGGGTGAGGGACCGAGAGCAAGGAAGTGGGAGACGGGGATGTCAAACTTAATCCCTCAACGGCCCGGAATTTAAAACACGGTCTAAATTGCGGGCTAACCATGATTAACGTGTATTGAACAGTTAGCGTTGCTGACCAACGCTAACCGGAAATATTGAATTTGAATAGATTGCATCAACTTACGGCACTCTTTGAACCCCTTCACTGCCCCATGACACTAAGGATGCATTTTTCATCTTGAAGCACAATAATCCCTTTACGGACTTTGGTTAGATTACTTTTCTTCCGTGTATATTTTTCTTGGAATTTATGGGATTTTTTTATACTTCCATTCCCGCGGATGCCATGTTAACTTAAAGGATGGTTCTATAGTGTAGCAGTTAGCATGCCTGCCTCGGTAGCATTGGATAAAAGCGTCAGCTAAATGGATAAATGTGATGTTTTAGTCCAATTATATTTCATTAAATATGGAGATTTTCTAAGAAAGAAACTTGTACTTATTTTCAAGAAAACAAAGGAGAAAAATCACGAACTTAACGTTATTTATTTATAGACTCAATAATAAGTCTACAGTATAGAGCAGTGGTCACCAACTATATTTGTCAGAGGGACAGATTTTTTTTTTCTGACACTCAAATAAAATGAAATAAAAATCAAATTTTTGTCTAACATTTTTATGGGACGTTTGTTATGGAATCCAGTTGTGGGTCAGATTTGACGGTCAGTGGGCCATATTCGGCCCACATGCACACGTATATATAGTATACAAGTATTATCGTAACATTACTGTTGACACCAATAACCCTAAATATATATATATGAAACCAATGTATAAATGCAAAAATGAAACTACGAATATAGTTAATATCGTATTCAAAGTCAATAGCGCTACACTAAAGATGCTACATTTAGCCTTGACTCCCAACAGTCCGATTAATGTACACAGTACCTGGACTAACTAGCACTTATAAATATTCTTTTATTCTAGACACATTACCATGGACTCCAGATGCTCCTGCAGGAAGCAGTACCAGGACTTCTTGAGGGACATCATTCCATCACTGAAGGCTTCTTTGCGCCTCCACAGGATCTCTTCGGGGATCAAGTCAAGACCTTTGAAGGAATCTCTCAGAAGATACTTCTCAACTCCATGCTGCTTGCGGAAAGCACAAAATTGGTTTTTTTTTTCACTATTTTTTAAAATGTCACTTTTTGGTTTAGAGAATTAGTGGATGAAGAAGGAAGTAACAAAGATCTACAGACCCTGGGGATTCTCATGTCCTCTGGCAAGGAGAGGTAGTACGCTGTGAATCTGTGGTCCAGGAAGGGAACCCTGAGCTCCAGACTGTGGAACAGGAACATTTGTAAATTCGATTACTATGCATATGAAGATTGTAGAGTGACTGATACATATGCAGCAGGTTCTAATTAAAAACAAACAAACAAAAAAAAACGTACAAAAAGGAGCGGTGGTTCTATGATCTTGTTACTGTTCGCCACTTTATATTTTATAGCTCATAAATAAATATATTTTTCCTTATGGGGAGAATGAAGCGCACTGTACTATATTTCTAGTGATTTGATTGTGCTAAACTGTACACGAATGGTTTTAAACGGCGGCCCAGGGGAGCTCGCATCCCACAAGCCCTTCATATCAGACCTGGATTTGAATAATAATTCAATGGGTTTAAGAAAAAAAAAAAAAAAGAATGAAAATGAGAAAAAATGTGTACTAGCTGCTCGCATTATAATATCATCGTAGGGTGCATGTACATGTTCTACAGCAGTGGTCCTCAACTCCCGGGCCGCGGACCGGCACCGATCCGTGGGTCAGTTGGTACCGGGCCGCACAGAAAGAATGCATAACTTACATTATTTCCGTTTTTTTTTTTATTATTTATTATCTGATTTTGAATGATGTTTTATTTTGAAAAATGACCGTATTCTTTCCGCCGCATTTGTCTATGACTCGTACATCCGCTACCTTCTTAAAAGGTCTGCTCTGGCTAGTAACACTTAATACATTGCTACTAAATTGAAACCTCCAAACTAGGCAAAAATGAACAAAACACAAATGTCTTCGCAAAGTTTCTTTGCGTGGGGTAAAAGTGTCTCCAGTGAGGAGACAGAAGAAGAGCCTGCGTCTTCGAAGAAAAGGAAAGCTGCATTTAACAAACAATTCCAGGTGTCCTACTTGAAATATGGATTTATTTTGCGACACGTTGTTCCCGTGCCAATTCACGGATGAGGCCATTAAGCATTCAAAACGCTAATAAAGGTTAACGTTTGTTATTATATTTAGAAAATACCAGTTTTTATGCCGGTCGTATAATTTTATTAAAGGCTGATTCGTGAAAAAAAAAAAAAAAAAAACCCAATAAAAACAGGAGCGAAAAACATACATCTTTCTACTTGGACTAATCACGATTATTCATGATTAATCACAGCTAATCTCTGATTAATCAGATCAGAAAATTGTAATTGTTTGACAGCACCTATTAAATATAAATTGTATCTGATGTGTGTTGCCATACAGCATGTTGCTGTCCTGGCCTGGTGGTGGTGCTAAGTACGCATTTGAAAAACTGTTTACATGATTAAAGTGTTCTAGAAAAACCCTGAAACTCAATACAAATAGGTTTAGAGGATTTGTATTTTTCTCCTTGACTGATGTTTAATTAGGTGATACAGAGACAGGCAGTGCTTTTAGTTTGGCACCTTAAGTTCTGGCCACAACAGTTAAAAACAAAACAAAAAAAAAAACAAACAACAACCTACCCATGTGCAGATGTGGTGCGATCAGCACGCAGAACATCAAACAGGTAGAGTTCCTCCATCAAACGTAAGCTGTCCTCTGCGGCCGCTTTTGGATTTGGAGCCTGCGGGAAAAACACAGAAAAACCAGTTAGTCATACACTTTAGATGTACATGTTTTATTATTTATGAGTAAAAATATACCTAAAGCTTTTTAAATTCATATTTTACCTGAACTATGGATTAATGATTAAACTAATGTTTAATCCATCTATTATTTTATATTTTAACCCATACAATTTGCATACATTTCAGTAGAATATATGGATGCAATTTAATTTTTCTTTTGCAAATCTTTTTTTGTGTTTTGAAGCCCAACAACAACAATCTTTTCTCATCTCTACTAATGTTGGTTAGCAAAATGTCTTTTCTCATCTCTACTAATGTTGGTTAGCAAAATGACGCTAAATTATAACGCTACCATTTTTTTTGGCTAACTTTCGTGTGCTTAGGGTTTTCGAATATTTCTCGGTTGGGCATAATTTTAAAAAAGCTGGGAATGAATCCTAAACTGCATACGAAAAATATGTTTATCCACACGTCAGCTGTGGCAGGTATATCTGAGGAACATCTAGGTGAACATCACCACCTGCTGCCAGTATAAAGGTATTACACATTTTTGACGAGGCGATTGAAGCAAAGTGATGTGTTCGGGTCAGATTAAAGTTCTGAGTCTGACAAATAATGGGCACTAAATGGACTAAGACAATAGAAGAGCCTCCGGTGCAGTAATAATTAAAACTAAAATCGTTTTTTTTAACAACGTGATTCAGACCTTGTGGAAGTAAATGTATCCTTGGGTCAGTTCATCAGAACCCTCTCCAGAGAAGATCACCACACTGTCGGATTTCTCCTTGACGTATTTGGACACCAAGTACATCCCTGCAGTGAGAGAAATATATTCATATTATCATTACACTTCCGCCATTCCCCTGCAATACCCACGTCTCCCCAATAGATGGTGTAGAAAGGCTAAAAGCAGTTCAGCACTTGAATGCATGACTTTTACTCGTCATTTATCTTAGTTCACACAAACGCACCAACTATCTTGCTTATAAACTATCATTTACAAATGTTTTTTTTTTATTATTATTATTTAATTTCCAGTGCATTTACTCGCACTCACCAACAGAGGCACGTATGGTGGTGATGTCATAGGTCTCCAGGTGGAAGATGACATCCTCGACCGCTTGGACACCTTCCTCAACGGTGAAGTTCACCTCGTGGTGTTCACTTCCAATGTGAGCAGCAACCTGATGAGCCCAAACAAACCTTCGTTAAAAACCTCATACTGTTTTTTGGAATCTTAAACACTAGTGCTGAGAATGTTGCACGATGTGGAAGACCTTGCGAGCTGCTAATAGGTCAGGACTGTCATCTGAGCCAATAGAAAATGTCTGGATGGGATACGGGAGTTTTTCCTCTTTGGCCAGTTTGACCAGTGTGGCGGCAACCAAACTGGAGTCCAGACCACCTGAGGGTTGGACACATTTAAGAAAGAAACTCGGATACCGCAGCCAGATACGCCCCTTTATACATTTACATCCGGTTTCAAACGTATCCAAATTATATCATTAAATTATATTATGACGTCGGTTAGTTTCTTTGTTCCCTGCAATACCAACTTTTACCCACTCCTGCCTACTGACCAGAATAAACAATGCTAGCATAAAATGGACAATTTCAAGGTGTGTAAAAACAGTTACAGGAAAACCGCAGCCAGATATACATTTACATCCGGTTTCAAACGTATCCAAATGATATCATTAAATTATATTATGACTTCGGTTAGTTTCTTTGTTCCCTGCAATACCAACTTTTACCCAATAGTTGGCACACTTCAGGGTGAGGTGTATTACCCTCTCCTTCACTGTTTTGCTTTGCCCTTTGTTTGAATTTTACCTTCAGTAAAAGTGAGTGGGTCACAGAAAAGTGGACAGTGAGTGTCAAAAATGTGTCCACTTTTTGTCCAAAAAGTGGCTTTTTTTGCACTGTTCACACTGGCAAAAAGTTAAAATGGTTTCAAAAAGGTTGAAAAAAGTTTTGCCCTAATTTCCCTCAATCAATTGATCAGTCTATCAATCTATCTATGATGCTTTGGTCAATGGTCTGTGTGACCAAATCCCCGGAGATAATTCTAACAAAGTAGGACTTTCTGGATAGCGAGAGCTACAGCTGAATACACCCTTACAACCTAAAGCTGCTGATGTTCCCTTATCCATGTACACATGTACCCATGTTATGGACCCACTATTAATGGGAGATCCTTAAGATCACCTGAGAGAAGACAGCCGATCCTCCTTTGGGCCATTAGCCGTTTCTTCACAGCATTTTCGAAAAGGGCTCTGATGTTGCTCTTCACTGTTTCCTCATCAAAGCCTGTAGTGATCAGTGTTTTAGAAATAAGCACGAAAACATCACAAACGACTGATTACACTTTTTTTTCCCCAACACGGAGGAGTTACAAACTTGTTGGTAGTGTCTCCAAGGTGTCGCAGATGGCATGTGCGGGCTCCTGCGTACAGCGGTGAAACCTTTCCATCTGAACAGAGCGCACTTTTCCATTCTGCTTCAAATCAAAGGCCTCAAAGTGCCCAGGGAGAAAAGGGACGATTTTGACCGGGGTTTCCATGGCATAGCTCAGGTTTGTGAGTCCTGTGATTAGAATAACAAAGGTCGGGCTTTAGCTTCTTGACACATTTTAAAAAGATTTAAAAAGACCCGTAAGGGAGTAATGTATTGTCCACGATACCTTTGGCCTCAGAGCAGACTGCGAGGAATCCATCGTCCGTGAGAAGCTTGAACAAAGGCCTCACACCGTATGTGTCCCGTCCCAAATAAACCTTCCTGTTGGAAGTGTCCAGTAGAATGAATGCAAACACACCGTCCAGCAGGGAGGCCATTTTCTGGATGCCAAAGCGGTCGTATAGGTGAAGTAAAATCTCACCGTCCACTTCGGTCTGGTGGTCAAAATCAAACTGCTTCCTCAGCTGAGGGAATACAGAGCAAACAGTTAGGATAGCAACCAGTACCAGAGGAAACACATGAATAAAGGGATTTTTTATATATATATATATATATATATTTTTTTTTTTTCATATTATCGTTCCTTGGAGAAACATGGTTTAAACTGGGGGTCAAACTTAATTAGATCTCAGACAGGCCGGAACAGTACAATCATATCAATCAATCAACATAATTAACTATAAATAACAATAAGTCCATTATTTTTCCCCTTTGTTTTAATGCAAAGAAATACAAGTATATTAGATTAATCTTAATTAAGTGTGATCGCAATTGTTTTTTTTAATTAATCATAACAAAATATAATTTTACAAAACATTGAGGTGTAATTTTTTTTTTTTTTTTTTTTTTTTATAAAATTCAAAACGGGGCCCCAACCGGGCCGGATTTCCTCTGATAATGAGAAACCCAATAATGCAATGCCCATATTTTTACTGTTTTTTTTTTAGGTTAGAAAATGTTTCTTTATTACAAAAATAATGAGAATATTGTAAATTAAAAAAAAGTACTTTAAAATACTGCAATATAGCGCTATAACTCTCCCCAGATCAGATAAAAAAAAAAAATCCACAATGTACTCAGGGAGCGAAAGGAGAACCGCAATATAGAGAGGGAACACTGTACTGTATAATATGCATGGTGCATCCCTGATTCTTACTGTATGATGGTTGTAGATTTCCCCATTGTAGCAGAGCCACAAGAAAGGAAACTTCTTTATACGTAAAGGCTGCATGCCATATAACTGGTCCAGAATGGCCAGCCGATGGAAGCCAAAGCAACAGTTGGTGTAGCCGTCGACGTTCTCAAAGCGGAAAGCATCCGGCCCTCGGTGGGCGATCTTCATGGCACTACTCCACTGAACTGACAGGCACTCATCACTGCCGAACAAAGCCCAGATACCACACATTTTTCAGCTGTGGAATGTGGACAGAGAAGAGAAAAAATGAATAAATGGAAGTCTTTTCACTCCACTCCTTCCCCCGAATTGAAATACTATCAAGCGTCTGGTAATATTTATTTATTTATCTTTACAAACCACAATATGAAAATGAACTTACATTCTTTTGTGCAACTTAAGGTGTCAAATGAAGTTCCAAATTCTTCGTCAGCTTCATGTTTTGGATACCGGAATTCGTTTTTTGTTTTTCTTTTTGATTTTTTTTGTAGTCCTAGTTTTTATAGTCGAATAAACGACCTTTAGTGTCATTTCTTCAAACCAACTTGGGCGTTGTTTGACGTGTCCTTGTCATTCATATACTGTATATCCTGCAATTTCATTGGATAGATGCTGTCGACTCAAAGCCCTCGGGGCAATTTCAATAAGGAACAAAGCAACAACTATTTAAATACAAATTTTTAGTCTTCAACAAACTGCTGTGGGTCAAAGAACTCATTGAAATTATCTTAACGTAATACTATTACGTACTACAACACGTGGTCTTCTAGAACCTAGAGCCTATTTTGACTGAACATACATGCGTAACAATATGTACAATATGTAGTTTCGTTCGAAAAACTGTATTCTCTTAATTTAGCTCCTATTGTGGTTTTATTTATTATGTATTTCGTTCTATAAGTAATAGCAGGCAGTACTCGTGTTATGTCCAATAAAATTGTTTCATAAAACTACTTCCGGAAATGACGATTTACTAAATATTGTAGAATATTGTAGAAAAGAAAATCTGTTTTAACTGAATATGCATGTGTAACAAATATATACAACTTAATTAATAATAAAAAAAACCAACAATGTTCTTTTTATTTTCCGCAAGAGGGTTTTCCCAAATATCTCGGACGGTTCGCCATTAAATAGCGGAAGTGAACGTCAGCGTATGATGAAACATTTCAAACTCGGACAGAGTCCCTTACCTCTCAACAAACGGTCCTCAATGCACTTGAACTCAAAAGCTCCAGACGGACAGCGTCAGCAGCACTCAGTGGACGCACAGAAATCAGGATCTTATAAACCCATCAGTGGCATCTGCTGTGACGTCACACAGTTCCCGCCCAGCTAACGCAACACCGATATAAATTACCTCAGAAAAAAGTGACGTCGTTTTTACATATATAAGTACTGTAACTGAAACTCCATTTGTGGTTAACTAAAAATACAACCCAGTCCAACTGAAACTATGCAGAAGACAAAGTGACGATATGTTTAACTGGGAAGAGTCAAAGGTTTATCGAGATTAAAAAATATCTTCCGTTCACGCATTCTTTTACTACACATTTAGAAAACATAAAGTTAAAAAAAAACGTGTATGTGCAAGGATAAGACATAATTTCTTCCAGTTTTCTCTAAAAGTAAAAAAAAAACGTGTATGTGCAAGGATAATTGCACATACATGTAGTGGCGCAGTAGCATTCCGATGTTCTCCGTGTTTTCTCTAAGTATGTCTGTTTCGTCCCACAGTCAAGAAACATGAAGATTACAGAAACATTTAATTGGAATTTGTTGAATGACAGCAAGATTGAGTTGTTCGTCTTTATGAATGCGAGTTGCCCACCCATTAGACTTCAAGCTTACCGAGCCAATTATCCTATTTAAACATAAAAAGACATTTGAATCCAATAAAACAACAAAATCATTAAATATTGGTTTGTAATAATTTTATATTTAAAAGGACAGATTGCTTAAATAACGGCAGGGAACCGTGCTGGTCAAAGAAGGTATTTATTGAAGTCCCAATGATCCACACAAATGGCTAACTGAAGACTCCACGTAACCAAAATTAGTTTACTAATTTCCTAATCATGACGAAGAATAAGTAGGTAAACAATACACCCCCCAAACAAATCTTTGCTGATCACCAGAATGGGTATATCTACTGAAGCACATGCAAAATAAATTCTTTATTCACCTGTTAAGTCAACGTCAGGTCTGTGACATACTCTTCTGGAGCCATACAATAAATCACATTTATGTCGAAAATGTCTGTCATTTCTTAGTTAAGTAAAGCCACGGAGGTCAACCAAAAGTGCCTCCTAAACCAGGTAATTATATGTCTATTTTTTTTTAAACTAGTGCCATATCTTAAAATTATATATATATATATAAAATATATAAAAAAAGGATTCAAATTTTTAAATATGTGATTACGGTTGTTTAATAAATTGTCTCAATGAAGTATCAGTTAGCAACATTTCCGTCCATCGTTTTTTTGCTCAAAACAGAGTATGCAACAGACCTCACAACCAGGTTAACATTTCACTTCGTACATTTAAACATTTAGAAACCCAGACACACACACACTGACGGAGGTAAAAACAGAAGAAAAGGAAAAAAAAAACCCATTGGAATATGAACAGATATGAAACACGGAGGAGGAGGAAGTAAAGTTACCCAAAAAAAAAAACTCCTGTGATTACATCATGAAGGCAAATATATATATATATAATGTATATAGTAAACTCTTAGCAAGGGTATCACCATTGTCCTGTTTTGTCATGCAGTATAAAATAAAGATCAATAAGTAGGGATGTCCGATAATATCGGCCAACCGATTATATCCAACCAATATTAGCTTCATTATGTAATACTGGTAAGAAACATTATCGGTTTTTCCTCCGATAATGAAAACCTGATAACGCAATGCAAACGTCTTTCGCCCAGATGATGTGACCTAAAAATAATTTGGAGGTGAAAGTGAAGCTACTATTTGTATCGTGCACAGTATTGTCATTGTGAGAGCACACCACTGCAACACAATGACATGTGTCCTCTGGGGCTGCATATATCGGTATCGGTTGATGTCGTAATCGGAAGTTAAGCGTTTGGCCAATATCGGCAAAAGGTTCATATCGGACGTCCCCCAGTGTTAAAGCTGTGGTGCGTAAACTGAATAATAATCTTCATTTAAAATTCATCACACAGTAGTGAAGCCATAACTTTGTGCATCCCCCCACACTATTATTTGCATTAGTATAAAAACATAACTTAAAAAAAAAAAACAAACAACTTAAAACCAAGTACCAGATATGCCTGGAAATGAGTAAAATCTTAGCTACAGTAAACAAAACAAAAAAAAAATACTGTCCTGAAATGTTTAAATCTATGGCTTTATGGCTTTATTTAGGCCTTTTGTTGTACTTTTCCGAGAGTGCACGTCTTATAGTCTATAAATCTCATATTGTATTGCACTTCTTGATTGCATGTTTCACTAAAAACATGTGGTCGAAGAGTGAGGGCTTCTTTTGACAATGTGCAGTAGTTACTGAGGCCTGTAACAGGTGTCCGGTTGCCACATCCGCAGATCCACCAAGATCTGGTTTAGTTTCCTCATCCACAGATTCCTCTCGTCCTTAGTGTCTGCACTCAGCCAGTTTCTACAGGAGAACGGTACAGTTTGAGTTGCGTTTTAATCCGACACGCTGGTGATCACATTGTACAACATGATTTCCAGCGGGTACTCACTTGGTAACGCACATGGTGTCTCTGCACTGGCTAACTAGCGTCTCTTTGTCATCCTCACGCTGCGGTCTGACGGTAATGAGCTCGAATGTGTTCGGTCGGGCACAGAACTCCCGATTGACTGGCTCGACTTTCTTACTGGTGCAGTTTGCCAGGTTGATGCGACCGATGGGACTCTGCGACGACACAGAAAACGTCAATTTCAAAACAAACATTTGGCATCCCGTTCTTACAATTTTCACCGTAAGATGGGACTCACGCTCAGTTACATAAGTAACTATGTCACTCATCTACGCTAACGTAGTGCTAGCATCATAATCTGGGGGCGGGGAGGTGGGTGTGAGGTGCTTCCAATGGAATATAGCACGCTGGACACGAGTGTACCACTGCTGTAATGCATGAATGATAACAAGCCTCCAGTCACTAGGTGGCAGCAACACATATAGTGGTTTGTACAGATATAAATATACATGTCATCAGGTTCTCAATAGTATTTCGATTTGCGGGGGTGTGGGTCGAGAGGTACAGAAAATAATCAGAATCACTGCTCTAATGACTTGCGAAAATGTAAATTATATTTTTATGGCAATAATCTATATTCTCACATGCTGATTCCAAACATATGAAAATTTTGAAAAACCTTTCTCCTCTCATCGTCTGGGTAGGTCCAGTAAGAGATGCAGTACCCAGATAAGACACACCACCGTCTGTGCCAGGCTCCAAATCCACTGACATCTTCAAACATTGTCTAGAGATCAACAATGAAAACAAGTCTTAAAATTAAAAAAAAAAAAAAAAAGAGACTTGATTATGTTCTCATTACCACACTTGATCTGCTCACTCACCAGGAAGCCCTTCTCTTCCACCTTGGAGCCGACTTCACACTGCATCTTGAGGTAGACGTGGCCCTCTAGTGGACACAGAAACGGCACCTGGGGGTTTGAAGAAGATACATCAATAAAAAAACAATAAGACAAAATCTTCAAAATAATCACATTTACTTTAAACAATATTAACATCAGTTAAAGAAAAGCACCTACATCCAATCCACGCTGCTTTTTTAAAAAAAAAATTACTTTTTAGAACTGTCATTGTCGAGGTTACATTACCCAGAATGCAAGAGGACATGGATGTCTCTGTGGCAGACTGTGGTGAGGATGCAGATAAACACTGAAATGCTTGACTGTTGCAGCTGTGACATGGTTGTACAGTTGAATTTAGAAAAGTCTGTTACAGTTATTACATTTCGGTTTGGTCCAAATCTGAATTTCCAAAATTCCTCAGTAGAATAAAGCTTTAAACCCAATCATCGTGGACAGGATATGAGACATAAACCAACGTGGGTGAACCTGAATACCCAGACTGTGGTCGGGAAAACACTTTTCGTTTTCCCTCTCCAACAACATCATTACAACTATGTCACTTTTTGCTAGCTTTTTTTGACATCCAAAGCTTCGCCATTACAGTAAAATATTGTGATATAAGATTTATATACAAGTAAATGAAGTTAAAAAAAAATGTTGTCAGACAATGAAAAAGATATGTTTATGCTCTGATGGGTTTTAGGGATGTCCAATAATACCGATATTATCGGGCCAATATTACCATAATTATGCAATATCTGGAATAATTGTTATCGCTTTTACCACCGATAATGAAAACCCGATAATGAAATGCCTGGGTTTCGCCAAATATGCTAGAATCGTTTGTGGGTACTGAGATGTTTACCACAGTTTTGGGGGGAAAACGGCTGCAGATATCGATATCGGTAAGTGTTTGGACAATATCGGCATATCAGATATTAGCAAAAAGTTAATATTGGACATCCCTAGTTTTTAGCAGGACTTGCTAAAAGCAAAGACAAATTGCTTGAGAATTATTAAGGAGTTACATCATTAAGTCATACCTTATAAGTCATATAACACGTTACGATATCAGGTGGAGTGTGGATTATGTACAACGTGACGTGTCGTTCACCCTTTCCCACAACAACAAAGTAAAAGAATATAAAAGCCAACGGGGCAAGTCATGACCTTGGTATGAAACATGTCACTGAGTAGCTCTCTTTCAAATCCTTCAATTTTGATCTAAAAGACAGATATCAAGGAAGGGGGGGATGAATGGAAAGAAACATCTAAGTGTCGTGTGAAAACAAACAGCAAACACAGATGTAGGCCCACAGTTCAGGTCAGACATCGATAGCAATGGATATACTGTACAGCACAAAGGGAGGGAAAAAAGGGAGGTCACTTGGAACAAGTGGAATACAAAGGAGTATTTCATTACTCTGAAAATGTAGACGTTGCAAAGGTGAAAGCCTGAAATCCAAGCTTGAAAGGCCACATAATGAATCCTTTACCTTTTCCAGGGGAAACTTGGTCTTTCCAATGGAAGACAAGGTGAGCTTGTGTGAGCCGACCAGGACAAAGTTACTGGTGCGAACCGCATTAGGCCCCCCAGGACTGGCCACAACTACAGGAAGAGCAGATACAGTTACATTATTATGGCTGGAGCTCAAACAGAGGAATCTATGTTAGTAGTGCAGACTCTTGGTCGACCTCACTTGACTCCTTTAACTCAGATAAAAGAATAAAAGATTAAGGATTATATTCTGGACTCTTACTTATTTGAGCAACTACTTTGTAAAATTCAAAAATATAAACCAAAATTTCAAACGAGCTGCTTTTTAAACTTTAAATATATTTAGACACATCTGTGTTAGAAGCATTGCAAAAGCATTAGAAAAAAAAGAAAAGAAAAGAAAAGATAGTTAGTTCTAGGCTGAAACAATTCCAACATACCTGGAGTCTGTCCACTTTTCTGCTAAACAAAAGATTTGAAAGGATTAAATATGATTTATATTACTTCTATAAAAGAAAAAAAAATGAGCAGAATTATATTGGAAAACAAAAGTACATCCTCTTTGATGAAAAAAAAAAACATCTGGTCACAAGGTTCTAAATGCATTTATAGATAAATGTGTGTTAAGTTTTTCAATAGCTGAAGCGTACCACCCCTAGAGGGCGCCAAAGAATAGCATGAAGTTGCATGCATAAAGTGAAATTATTTGCTGTTTATGAAATTACACTGATACACTTTATAAAGTGAAATTATTTGCTGTTGCGAATAACTGTTTATGAAATTACACTGATACACTTTGTTGGAATATATATATAAATATATATATATATATATTTATAATATACAATCTATAATCTAGTAAATTATTATTTCCCTAACTTGTAAAAAAAAAGGAAAAAAGGATTTGAGAGGATGCACTTTCCTTTACCAATAACTTTAAGTGAGGAGATAAAAAAGAAAACTTACTGTGATGCCAAGGAATCTCTTTGGAGTGATAGCCTGAAGAGGTACACAAAAAAAAAAAAAAAAAAAGAGAGTGTCACATTGTGGATTCGCCGGAAAAAATGGGAAGGACAGCAGAGACTAAAGTCGTGTTGGTTTCAACAGTATATGACCCGGAGACACCACCTATATTACACGTGCAGGAAATCTAACAAATGCAGGTGAGGCGACGTGACAGAGGTTCGAGCACCCGCCCAGAGTGAGTGAAGGATCGGATACAGAAACTATTCATACCGACATACACAAATCATGTGCTTCGTGAGCTCGTCTCCAGATGGTCTGTACACACACACACATACGCAGCTTGAAAACGTGGACATCGGACTGACTTTGTCGTTGTGTAAAAAAAAAAGTGAACTTACCTTTGATTTGTTTGGCTTTCTCTTCTTATCAGTGCAGATCTCACGTTTCTGAACCTGAAGGCATCAGACAATGTCAAGATGGTAAATCGTTGAATCTCTCTCTATGTACACAGCCATGTATTTTTTTGGTACTTGAGTCATGAAATCAAAATGTTTTAAAAATTCCCATCATTGATTAAAAACCTGTGTATAACCAAGTACCGTATTTTTCGGACTATGAGTCACACACTATTTTTTATATCCGACTTAAACTCAGGTGCAACTTATATATTTTAATGTTTGTTATTTTCATACTGACAGCCGCTAGAGGGCACTCTCGGCTTGTGTACCAGTAACTGCTATTTATATACCACTGAAAATGTACATGTTCAATATTTTCACACTGACAGTCGCTAGAGGGCACTCTAGTCTTGTGTACCAGTGTTTGCTACTCCTGCAAGTCGCATTTTTTATGCTTTGGCTGGGTTTGCGACTTGTATATTAAAATATACAATTTCACATGTTTGTTATTTTCATACTGACGATACCACTATAGGGCACTTTAGGCTTGCGTACCAGTATCTGCTACTCCAGTATTACTGAAAATGTACATGTTCGTTATTTTCACACAGACAGCCGCTAGAGGGCACTTGTGCGGCTTATATATATATTTTTCTTTCTCGTTATTCATTTTTTGGCTGCTGTTTCTTGTACTCCGGAACGACTTATATTCCAGAAAATACAGTGTTAACTTTATTAATACAATAGTAGGTTGTAGTCATATAACCTGGCAATAGGAATACTCTCAGAACTAGAAGTACACACAGCGCCACCATGGATTAATTATTTTAACAACTTGTGTTACGAGAAAAATAATTCTGAGAGACTTACCAGACAATACACCTCAATGTTGATTCCAAAATCACTACTGATATCAGACCTAAAAGTAAGAAGGGAATAGCACTTTGGTCAATGCTAAATGTCAAAAATAATATTATGAAAAAGACAAAAATTTATATTTTTAAATGCAATAAAGTCAAAAATATTTTTGTTTTCTAAATGGGCAAAAGTGCGAAACTTACAAGGTAAACTTGGTGGGGAAAGTCAGTGTGTCACCACTGAGGCCCCGGTGTGTGGTGGCCAATGGAGTGGCGACAGTATTCTCCGCCCCGGAGCGAATAATGATGAAGAAAGAGTGCTTTGTTCCGTCTAAAAAAAATATATATATAAAGAAAATTAAGCATATGCATACCACAAATTATTTTCAAAAGTATGGTGACCTGCCATCCAAAACATATCAAGTGTACCTGGCTTGTTGGCAGTGGAGCAAACAAAGTCTGCCTTGAGAGGCAAGCGTAGCTCCTGCAGGGTAATGGAGCCCTTGGATGCCAACATGCCTGCGGATTCAGTGGCAGCAGGGGCTTTCTTCTGACCTGGTCCGCCTGCTCTCAATTGGTCCAGCTCTGCTTTTAGGGCCTCTCTTCTTTCCACTAAAAACATCACAAGACAATGCTGTATTATTTATACAAAGCTCACATCAAGTAACATTGTCTCATGTACACTGATCAGGAGAAAAAAAAATGGCTGCCACCATGCCACAAGTACAATGTTACTTTCATTATATTTCATTGACCCAATTTCTCAAATAGTTGACTGACTTTAAGTATATTGTCTGTATTCATGCTTGAACGATAAATCATCCTCCACTCGCAGCCACTAGATGGCAGCAGAGCAGGCTTTATTAATCTATTCTGATAATCAGGGGATTGTATGCAAAATGCTGGTGCCAGCAACTCATACAGTGGTTTGTACAGATATAAATAAATTTTACCATAATTTGTTTTTAACCTTTTGTATATTAAGGCAGAAATTCCCAACCACAGCTTATTAGATCATCATCATAAAATACTACTATACATTTGTTTTGGGTGTGTTTTTAGGGTTTGTCTAATACTTCAAAAATGTGTTCATGTGCCAAACATGTTTTTTTTTTTTTTTAATGAAACGTACTTGCAACCAGCAGCAGTCTTTCTGCCTCAGCCTCAACCTGGGAACCTTTTCCATGCTCTTCGTCTGTGCAGCAGTTTAAGGCCTGACTGGCCTGATGAATGACTGTCTGCTGTAGATTTATTTCATTGGTCAGAACCTGCATCAAAATATGAAAAGGTGTTTAAAAAAAAAAGTTCAATGTTATGACCCATTCATGAAATATTTCTGATAATTCATTATGTAATGTCAGGGCAATTAGTTTACCAACATTTATTTAGTAGCATAGCGTCATAATAAAAAAAAACAAATAGAAATTGATTTTTAAAAAAAGCGCAGTTCTTTTAAAAAAATTACAATTTATACTCCATTTAAACAGACAAATAAAAGCAATCTCAAACCTTCATCTTCTGTTTGATATTAAAATGAACAGTTCCTCTTGGCTCTTCTGCTCTGTTGGAAACATCTTCCTTTCTCACGATGACCTGCTTCACATGGGGGCGCTCCATCTCCTTCACCCTGATTGATCTATAGGCATTGACGCTACCATAAATAGCAACGTGTGTAAAAACAAAACAAAAAGTTAATTTCCGATAAAAGCAACAAGGTCTCAATGTGCAATCGTCAAAATATCCACCTGTAGGGAAGTTTATGGGCTTCATCCAAGGACTCAAAACTGTCAGTTGAGTCCAAGTAACTCGTATCAGTCCTCTGAAACCTGCCCAACGGGCAAACGTTGTCCGGGGACTTTACGATGAAGGAGCTAGCTGGAGTTGACGTCTGTAAAGAGACAAAACATTGCATTTTGTTATACGTTTCTCAATAAAGTGCACAGAAACTTCACAGCTAATATCGCTAACGTGAGTGTGGGTGTCTACCATCATTCTCTTCTCTGGACTCTTCACCACCGCAGCCATGGTCTCTGCCAGTGGAGTGAGCAGGGACATGGAGGAGATATTGAGTGCATCTTCCTCCTCATCCTCTTCCTCTTCCTCGCTCTGCTCCAGGACGCCGTCAAAAAGCTCGTTGATGACTTCGGAGGTGATGGAGTGGTCGACGTTCATCTCTCTCTCCGTGACGACCTCCTCGTCTTTCTTTGGTGATTCTTCGGCTGCTTTCTTTTCGTTGTGCCGAGTCATCCTGAGCGGGCTGGATGTCAGTGCTGGCGGTGAAGCCGTCAGCAGGTTACCTGCTAACCAACATAACCTCTGTTAGACATTTATGTGGTTTGACACAGGGGTCCTCAACACCCGGTCCGTGGACCAGTATTGGTCCATGCATTATTTGGTACCGGGACACAGTGGGACACAGTGAGAGAATTTGGTCATTTATATTTACTTTCCATTATTAAAAAAAATAATCTGATTTTTTTTTTTTTTTAAATAATACGTCTTTCAGACTCCCATGCTAACAGAATAAAGTCTAAAAGTGAAAATTAACTGATCCTTAACAATACTTCAAACGTCGGTTCTGAGCTACCAGTTCGTGGTACTGGCCAGGACCTGTCAACCAGTCCTTAATATAAAAAAGGTTGGGAACAACTGGGAAAACATGTGCAGTCACACCCAGAACAAAAAAAAAAAAAACACATTATCAGGTTCAGAAAAGTTAAATATAAAAAGGAAAACATACAAAATAAATAAAAAAATAAACATGAAAATGTTTCTTTAATAAAATGGAGAAATATAAAACTTATTAGCCAATTCAGTTAGTAATATGGACATTTTGTTGAAGTTTACATTTAAATCAGGCATCTCTCTAGAAACTCCAGCCGAGCACCTGTTTCTTTGGGATTCGTTATTCTTATAGAAACTTGTATAGGAGAAAACAAATAATATTTTTTTTAAAAAAAAGAGTACCTAGCGTATGGCATGTTGTGGGTACGTAGGACGAAGTCGTAGCTTCTTCTACTTCCTCATTGGATGGCGTTGAGGCTTCATCAAGGTTTTCACTGGACAGGGTTGTGGCCTCATCCTGTTTCTCAATTGATGGCGTTTCCTTCTCCACTGACTTATCAGTCTTTTCCTGAAAAAAAAAATCATATATTACACAAACTAAAAAAATAAATAAAATTGTTTCGCCTTTCCGCAACATAAGCGCAAGCTAGTCAGCTGACCTTGACGTCCGCAACGTTAGCGCAAGCTAGTCAGCTGACCTTGACGTCCAAGTTCTTCTTGGTGTCCGTTGCTTCGTTTCTGTTCTTCCACATATTGTTCCCATTCTGGAAGCAACTGCGAATCTTAGCCAGCTCGGACTCGCGTTCCTGAAAATGCAGAAGACTCTCATTATCTTTGTCTTGAAAAATGTTAGAAACAAAATGGCAACCACAGAAATGTCGGTGGCTTATATTTGGTATTTGGAGCACACCATCTTCTGTTTTTGAGTGAGATCAGCGGTGGACGTGTTTGCCGCGTGGGCTGCTCTGAGTTTCTCCTGAACCAGTCTGGTGTTTGGTGTGACCACCGAGGTCACAGTGGGAGTCTTCGTGCTGACCCCTGCTGGAGAACACTGGTTGGTGCGCTCCTGGCATCTCTCTGCAAAACGTTCCAGTGATGACTTGACACCTGGTAGGAACGCAATAAAGCATACGTGTCAAACTCAAGAGCCCCTCCCCCCTTGAGTCAAATGCGGCCCACCAAGTCATTTTATGTGGCCGACGGGAGCAAAGACAGTAACTGAAAAGTAAAAAAAAAAAATACTCACTTGGACCTGCCGGAGTAGAGGGTTTCTGGGAAGCTGAAGGGCCAACAATTGCAGGCTTGGCACAGAGCTCTGGTTTTTGAGGGCTTGAAGTGTAGTTTAAACCCCTAGACAGGACGTGACTCTTCAGAGGGCTCTGTGGCACAGACGATGTGGAGGGTGTGCTGCTTTTTTGAGGACTGGACGGGACAGCCGTGCTCTGGCTGTTGCTCTTCTGTGAGCTCGAGTTGAAGGTCAGTACCTGGTTGGGAATTTCCGTATGGACTGTCGTTTTGGCGGCAGGTGTGTCCATTTTTTTAGGGCTTGGGAAAACCCCCTGGGTTGCAGAAGAAGACATCAGAAATAATAATATAATCATATCCAACACAACAGATGAAAATACAAGCTAAATGGCTTGAATGCCTAAATACTACATGATGGTGTTATATATTTAAAAAAAAAAAAAATCTGGCTCTTAACCATTGCTACATTTACAAAAATCCTGACATCAAAAATAAATTAATTTTTTTTTTGTGATAACAGCACAGAAGATTACCTTATTAATGCCAGGTGTGAATTTGCTGCTTGATGCTGACTGGCTTTGAGCAGCACTTGAATTTATGTTGCCAGCCACCGACTTGGGAACTGTCACATGCGGCTTTTCTTTAGCATTCGCTTTAGGGATATTAGCATGACTCAGGTCATCTTCCCAAGATCCAATTGTGGCGGCAAGGTTGGCCAGCCTGCCTTTTCTTCCTAGGGGAGTTCCTGAGGGTGCGGAGGTCTCAGCAGCCGCTGCAACATCTGGTTGTCTCTTTTGCACGGACAGTGGAGCACAGTCTGGAACGGCGTCAGCAGTACCTGTAAGATGTGTTTAAAGGTGAATGATCTGCCTTTATATCGCTAAATAAAATCACTTTGTAGTACACGCTTTCTAACGATGTAGCCATCAGCTATATAAGGGGGGAACGTTTTCACTAAAAAAAAAAAAAAAAAAAAAAATCAGAAAACCCTTTAATTACTGCATCTAAATGACCAATATCAAAATCTATTGTGGTAATTTTTCTGTTAAATAAATATATTTTAAAATGTCCCTGCTTCATCACATATTCAATTTTTACATAAATACGTACACATGCAGGTCAGGAAAGGGGAGCAAAAAGCAATTTGATGTTGACAATAATTACCATAGTAAACAAACAAACTTAAACGCATGCTTTACTAATGAAAGTTCAACTAGTTTTTGTGAGTGATTATTTCTAGGAAATGTTTTTTTTTTATTCAACCTATTTCCATCAACTCATTGACCGAGACAATAAAGATATTCTTCTGATTACCATCCCAACATTTTCTTTGTTCAGCGAGCATGTGTAGGCGTGACCTCATGCCAGCAGGTCTGGAAGCTGACACTTCTACTTCGTCATCTTTGCAAGTGTCAGGAACCGGAGTGGCAGGCGTTATCTTTTCGACTTTTTGGGCCTGATTTTTAGGAGTAGAAGGGACAGGCGTCATCTCTGGCTGCGGCTCCACGTTATTCACATGCCCCGGCTGAGGGGCGAGTTGTTTGACAGCCCGCTCCAGGGAAGAATGTCTACTGCTTGGCCCCACTGGAGGTTTCTTGTCTGTCGGAGGATCTGTGAGCATTGGCACCACAGGCAGAGTCTGTGGCTCTTGGTTCTCCTCTCCAGCTGCAGGTATGAGTTTCTCTCCTGAGCATAGCCGCTTTGATGGAGATGGTTTGGAGGATGGCTGGGGAGCTGGAAGGATGGTGGAAAAATTTAGAGAATAAATTCAAGACATAGAGACAAAAAAAAAAAACTGAGCAAATATTTCGGAATAAAACAAAAAACAGATATACCTTTGTCAGCAACTGGCTCACTCAGTAAACTATTTGTGTCTGCCAATGGCTCTCTGGGCCTTTTGGCCATTTGCTTGTTGTTGACATTTGGTCTCTCGGCCATTTTTTTCTGGAGGTTTTCTCTGCGAGCCCGAGTCCGCTCCAAGAGTTTCTGTTAGAACGAGACAAACATGGAGTGTTAGTCTGATGTCAGCAACTACATTTTAGCCTATGAAATCCCACCCACAAAATACATTAAGCCAGAATGTTGTTCTATAACAAAAAAAAAAATAGTTCGCTCTGTACAATCTGAAGCGTTCCCTTGCAGCAGTGCTTCTCAAATAGTGGGACGGGCCCCCTGGTGGGGCGGGGCGAGTGGCTTCCAGTGGAATATGGCACACCGGACATAAGTGTACCTCTGCGGTTAACGCTTGAATGATAACAAGCCTCCAGTCACTAGGTGGCAGCAACGCATACAGTGGTTTGTACAGATGTCAGAGTCATGTACTAAGGTGGTCCTTGTACAATGCTGTCAAAAATGTCAGTAGGAAAAGTTCTGTTTTTCCATTGTAGAGTGGAAGAAGCTCTTATGGACAATGTCTTTCATCAAGACCCTTAGAGGTGAAACCCACTCCTTAATAACAGCAATTGTTTTTGCTGTCCTTATACATGTGCTGCACCACCTTGCCTACTTTACTGCCACTCCTGACTCCAATTCAACGTGACAGTTCCTCTCTAGGCACCATATCACACACACTCTCTCTTAAACACACACACCCACCCACACAGGCAGCGCAGCTTCTTCAGAAATTATCCATCCTCATACCTGAATTGTTGTGTTTTGTTGTCACGTATAAAAACGCCAAGTTGAAACTACTTGAGTCTTACTTGAGACTCTGCATCACTTCAAAAGACAAATAACAATATTTTTAAGTTTACTTGTATGTCAAATTGTTTGCCCTAATGTGAAACATTATACTTGTCAAGGGATTGTTGTTGTCCACTGTGTTTGGACTTCATTCTTGCTTTGGGCTTTTACTAAAGATGTTTTTATTTCCAATACGACCAAAAAAGTATTTTTTTTGTGCATAGGACGAATATGATACTTCCGTAATGATAAGAGTCTAACTCAATATTTTCAGAAAGAATTTCAAAAGAACAACATTGCCATATCAGGTCAACGGACAACCCACAATGCCATACATGGGTTCTTCTCAATCCACTGAAAAATAGTTTGTAACTGACTCAGGCCACCGAGAAAAGGCAGTGTATGCGCTGGCGCCTGTAACGTGGCTGATTTATTGAGCTGTACTGAGAGTGCGCAGGCTCGACACATTCCTGCAGCTGCACCGCCACCTTCTCCAGGCACTGGAAAACCTGATGTCACATTTTTGCTTCGGGAACGAGCCACTCCTTGTGGTTCCTTGATTTGAATTAGCCAGCAGGCTAGTGAACACGAGTAACGACATGTAAATGAACCGCGACTTGAAATTCAAGGTTGTAGCATCTAATAGCAGCACCAGTAGCACATGTTGTATTGGATAATTTTAACATGTATACATATTCCATAGCATTAACTAAAGTGATACATTTATGTATGTGGGTTCAAATGAACATAAAATTAACAAAATAGCCTTTTTTGTGTGGGAAGCTATTTGTCTCGGTTGTTATTTTGTCGTTACGTGTAGACATTACGGTTGACAAAGAAAAACAAACTACGCAGTTCGAATTCTCAATACATATAGCAGCGACGCCAATGCCCTCGTGTTAAAATTGTGCTTCGTGTATCTAAAAGAATTTAATAATAGGAAATACAGCGCTTTTTAAACAAACTATTAGCGTTTAACACAAACGGCCATTTTGTCTAAATCCGGGCTAAGCAAGTACATGTCCGAATTATTGTAAATAACAAGGTTTAGCGACTCACCTCGGTAAAGGGATCCATTTTTGGCGGTTTATCCGCACGGCAAGAAAAGGTTGAATACCTGACTATTCCAACAGTGCTGCTCTCTACTTTGTGTACACTGACAATACAAGTCGATTCAAACACAGCGATATTCTACTTAACTGTAGCCCCTCCGTCGTACTTCTACTTCTGCACAAACCATCTGTTCAAAATTTGAATTTCAGCGCTGTACCCAGTGCGCATGCTCTAACCGTTGAACAAGAGGAGGACCAATAAGAATATCAAACTTTAACGTTCGTCAGCCAATCACATCCTCGGAAAAGAAACGACAACACAGAAACTCCTTTTATTGCCAGTCATGTCTGGATCAAATATTTGTAGCACATAAGTCATTCATTGCGGTGTTGTACACACATAACCATAACATAAATATGTATTTTATTTAATGTAGCATACATATAACATACATGTTGAAGTGGAGCCCGTTTTACCGACATGCACGTTTTTGCTTGAGTGGCAACGTAAATACATACATAAACTGGTTCGTACTAGTTTCTGCGTAAACAACATACTTCATTGTCTGTAGCTGAAACCGTGGACACAGAAGCTTGAATTTAAAAAAAATGTCAAATGTGCCCTATTACTGCAATGTGATATTTCCAAAACACTTTATCACAAACACTGCTCCCATTTATTACAGCAGCAAGCAAGCAAGTGAAGCACTGTACTACAGTACACTGTTGTAGCCTATCATGTAGCTGTGATCGTTTGTTACTTCTTTTCTCTTGCATGTTTTGCCTTCTATGACTATTTTTGGGAAATAAAATGGAAGAAAAATATAACGGTCAAACACATGAAAGAAGCTATGTCACTGTGCTTACAAAAGCACTTTGGAATCTGAAATAAAACTGCTAGTTTTAGAACATACCTGGATGCAGAATGACATAATAATGTTTGCCTTTGATCTTAAGTTGAGTTGCCATGGTAAGGCAGATGGTCTCCATTTATTTTAAAGGGGTAATTATGACATTAGCATCAAATGCAAAACTGGAGAAATGAAACGCTCGCCATTTCACGGCACATCCCTTCGCCTTCTGACAATATAAGTAACCCTAACGTGACAAACACTATGAAAGTGACATGGTAATTTATGAGCATCAAGCAACGCCTAGAAATTAAAACATTCATATACAGGTCCTATGGTGGGCCTATGTTATGTCTGCGCTATGAATACCAAGTATGCTTTGCCATAAAACTGCAGTACATCGACATAGACTCTGAATTTAAGCAGCAAGCTGTAAACAGTCAAGGGGTTTATTGGCCCCATTGCAAACGATGTTTCTGTCATCGTTCATAAAACACCATTACATTTTGGCCTTTGTAATTCAGTTCAAGAAAATAAGATGTTTATGCATGGCAGGAATGAGTGGACATTGTGTATATTTGACTTAACATCAGTCAATTCGTTTACACTACATCGTATTTTTCACGCCGGTCGATCATAAATCACTACCTATGAGTTTAACTTCAGTAAAATGTTGGTCTCCTTTATGGCTGTAAATCTCATGCAGCACCCACACGTATTAACATCACCATTTGTGCTTTACTGTCTATTTATCTCTAAACATGACCAATATATAACACATTTTTTATGTATGTATTTTTGTATATAACACATTAATTGTTCTTTGTTTATTCTCTTGCTTGCCTGATTATAAGAAGGCTATGTTCCCCTTTTTTCGTATTTTGTTGCTTATGTAGTTTTTTCACTTCACGTTAAAAGTAGTGTGGCAGTGCTGTTCTGAAAAAAATGTATTTCTTCCTATTAAATCGGTGTTTTTTTTTTATCTATTACAAGTAATAGTTTCAAATATAATTACTTAAATGAGCGTAATTGGTATCCGGTTTACCGGTAGTTGATATGTAATCCATGACTACATTCCCCATGAGCACCCGCGAATGTTGCGTCGCTGATTAGGAAACCATGACAACAGAGCAGTTAGAACCGCGAACACGGGTCGAGACACTTCCGCAACACCAGCGTCCATTCGTCTGTGTCCGCCTGTGGAGATTAAATGTTATTATTATTTTAGCTATTCGTTTTACGTTGACGCGGAAGACAATTTGCTTAGTTATTCGGATAATTTTTGCTGCTTTTATTTTGCCACGCTAGATAAGGGTAGTGTTTTTGTCATCTTTGTTATGGTTTTGTCTGACTTACCGGATGACGCTGGAGTCCACAGGTAGTGACAGGTAGTGTTACATTATTTTTGTCCTTCTTACGGTAGTTGGTCTCTTCATTAGCATCATTTCTCTTGTGTTATAAGGGTATTGACCCGATAATTAGAGATGCAACCATCCAACTTTTTCAGTACCGATATTAGTCCGATATCATTGTTGAATCAATAGACTTTATACCTCACCGTCTTGCGGCGACTGAAATATAACCAATAGAACCAATATAAGAATTCACAGTTTTATTATTTGTATATATACTGAATATTTTATTAATTCATTACATTACTTCTAAAACACATGAAGCTAGGTCAAGTGTGTCTCATTAGTTTCAACCCACCAAAGAAATTGATACATTATTGGAACTTGTGTCTTCATCAATTTGTGATCATCTAAACTTATACATTTTGAAATCAGCAATTATTTACTTTTTAAATAAAACTTTTTCCTTCCTAAGGCAGAGTTAGTTTATATTTTAATTATTTACTCAAAAACTTTTCCCTTCCTAAGGCAGAGTTAGTTTATATTTATCATAATTGATCTCCTGGTGTTGGAATTGATAATGTACTGTTCCATTGTCCTCTAATTAGGGATGTCCGATATTAACGATTGGCTAATATCCGATATGCCGATATTGTCCAAACCCCTAATTTCCGATTTCGATATCAACCATTACCGATATATGCGGACTCCAGCATATTCGGCGAAACCCATGCATTGTCGGTTTTTCAGTATCGGAGGTGAAACCAATGACGTTTTTTACAGCTATCATATATAATTATGCTAATATCGGCCCACCGATATTATAGGACATCCCTACTTTTAATCCATCACAGATAGAATCTTTAACTTGTTTAACTTTCCCCCTGCTAAATGTCAAGTTACAATACAATATATTGTGTAACTTAAGATTCAGTTCAGTCAGACCAGTATTTATCAACATTTTAAACCTAGAGAAACTGTATAAAGTCATTTCATGTTATCACAGTTAATGTACCACGTATCTGTTTCAGAAAAACCTCACTGACCAGAAGTAGAAATGTCTACCAAGTACATCGTAAACTCCAATGACAGTCCGAGTCCAAGTCAAGAGTACCTGGAGAAACTTTCATCATTCAACAACCTGTTATGCACAAGCTCAAGCAGCTACAGCCGTCTGCTACTAGCTGACAAGACCGAGTGGGAGAGGTCAAAGCATCCGCTGGGTAAAAGGCCAAAAACAGCGACAAGACGTGGTTTTTCCCCCCGTAAAAGAAGTCATCCGGGCAAAACATTTACGAAGTTGTGTGCCGGTGAAGTTGCCGGTAATCCTCCACTGAAAACTTCTCCCGTTACACTGACTACGAATTTATCCAAACCGGTAAGAAATATTACCGTAGTGGGCAGCAAGATGGGCCTTAGTACCCAATCAACCCCGAAACCCGGGAAAGTAGGCTTTCCCAACTCATCCCAGAGTAAAGTTCCCTCCTTAAGTACGTCAACGCAAAAACCAGCAATCACCGGGGAAGGGGAAAATGCCAAGAGGCAGTGCGTCCTGTCTGCCGTCAAGCCGTCCAATGTTGAGAAGGAGAAGGCTGTGTTCTTCAAGTCGGACTTCAGTTACAATCCTCAGTTTCAATACAGTAATCCTGTATCACCAACCTTCTTAGCTCGGCACAACAACGCTTCGGATCGCTTTCTGACGCAGGTAAGGATGTACCACAAACAAAAACAAAACCCCGCGTTTCTCAAACTTTTGAAACTGCTTACCTCCTCCGACATCAACCAATAGCGATACGTCACCATCTCCCATACATTTGTTAGGAGGTCTTGTCATTCCATCATTCCGACAGTACAGCATAGAAACGTAGTTCACATGGGAACTAGTTGGTGAG